ATCAAAATTCAGCTTTTTGATGTTTATGGAGATAAAGGGCTTCCGGCAGATTTAATAACAATTAATGTTATCCGAATAGCTATTGCTACTATTGGGATATTCTTAAATGCTGCCGTTGTTTATGTGACTGTTAAGTGCAAGTATGTGTTAAAATTAAATTTTTAACAATTAAGAAAAAATATTTAAAATATTGTAAAGCATTGGATTCTGTCAGGATCGGAATTCTGTCAGGATCGGAATTCCGTCAGGATCGGGATTCTGTCAGGATCTCAAATATCCAAAGATTGTAAAGCATATAACTATTTAATTCCTAAGGCTGTGCAGTAGACGGCGTGTTGTAATAGCTAACACATCAGTCCGCTCTACTGAAGATGCTAGTTCGCTCCCAGCCGCCGATAACCTTTTGCACTAGCTAAATGAGAGAAATAGCTCTATAGTCCTTCTGCTTTAAAATATTTTAATATTTGATAAATTATTTCCATTTTTTACCAAATGATTTGAATTCTTTTAAATTTATTTCTCTATTATTCTTTTAAAATAAAATCTGGACATAAAAAATTAGAATTTTTGTTCCCATTCCATTATTAATATTTTACAAAATTTATCAAATTAATTAATTAATTTAAATAATTTATTTATTTTCAATAAATTAAGAACATTAAAATCACCCTGCCATTTTTTACTTGCTTTTGAATGCTTTTCGAATGCTATTTTTCAAATCCACAGTTGGTTATCAATAACCGTTATTTTTAACCCTGGACATCAATTTATAAATATGAAATTTTGTTGTAAACAATTAATTTTGGTATTTATTGTTGGATTTACAACTTCATTTACAGCAGCTTTACTCGTTTCTTTTGATAGACTTTTAAGTGTTTTATTCCCCTTATGGTCTGAAAAACCATTATTTTTTAAATAAAAATTAATTAATTAATTAAAAGGTATTTACAAAGAATTGTTAAAAGAACATTTTATTTAATTCCAATGATATGTACATTATTTATTTGCCCGGCTATAATTATATGGGCTATTTATCAGATAGTTAATACAATGCCTGAAACTTCGTAAATAAATTTTTTTAAAAAATTTTTATATTTAAAGACAAGTTATTTGTGCTCCACATGAATGTACTGTGGGATGGGCAGGCGATTTGTCTTATTTTATCTTTTCTGTAATTAATTTCCTTACTTTGATTAATTACATTATTGTTTGGATTGCACTTAAATGGCATGCTAGTAAAAATCAGAATCAAGGTGTAGTTGTTGATTTAGGGTATAGCCAAAGTAGATGAGCGGCCAAGTAGGAGCAAAGCCACAACCTCCTTCGAGATTTCCGAATCTTTCAAAATTAAGTATTAAACGATTACACTCATCGAGCTAAAGAGATTGGTACAAGAACTTTTGAGGTCCAGAAATTTTCCAGGTAGTTATGGCTTTGCGCCTACGTGGCCGTGCCCTACTTGGGCGTGCCCCTTGATTTGTTATTATCTCCCAAAAATAAGATAATAGTCCAGAGATCTATATAATATAAAGTTTCGTTGGAATCATGAAAATATATCATATTCAAGACGCCTAACAGTTTTGAGCATACCTCTTTCCCCTACTTCTAATATTATGAGAGATTGTTAACAAATTTAAGGCTGTTTACTAATAAAAACAATCATTCTAAAATATTTTTAGCATCATTTGAATGGACTCATCGAATAATAAAAACCCTCGCTGTACTTATGGCATTTAATCTTGTTGGCCATTCAATGAATAGTATTGCTAGAATGACAGTTCCTCGTCTTGATTTAGATGTTACACAATCAACAATAGTTACACATTCTTTGAGTTGTTTAACTAATTTTGTTATGGCTAGTGATGGGCCTATACTTTATTTATCAAAGTATACTCTTTAAATATTTTATCAATTCAAATTTTATTTTTTTAAAGCCAAGAATATAGACAAGCTTTTCACAAAGTTTTTAAAATAAAAACAAATTCTGTTGCAACAGCAGTTACTGTCAAACACATTTCTAAAAATAATTTAAATAAAAATAATGGACAAATCCCTGTTAGTTAAAAATATTTTGAGGAATAATTAAAAAATATATTAAATCTTTTTTCTTATTTTATTTTGTATAATTAATTAATAAACATCCAAACAGTTATTGAATATCCACATTTTTTTAATAAAATAAAAATTTTTTAATAATAAATAAACTTTTATTTACTCTTCACGTGATTCCAAGAAGATCCCCGCAAGACTTACAATATATTTTTACAAAAAAATTATTTATTTCGACATTTGTTATTTATTTAAGGTGTATTTTTTATATTAAAGTAAATTGAGAATTACATAACACTTTGATAGACAAGGAAATAAATTTTAAAAAGCAAAAATATTAGACATAAATTAGTCAAAGTAATAAAAAGATATTTTTTTTATTATTTTATTTTTTGTTATATTCAAAATTAGGGACGTCTGTTCTTGGAAATTTTTTAAATATTCGGAACCGAACAGGTAATTTATTTAAATAAAAATCTCCACAAACAGACAAAATATAGTAAAGTTGGAAGGTGTTGGGGCTGAGGAATGCTCGTGCGTGGCCAGCGCACTCACCAACTACATAATCGGATCAACTCAACTATCTTTTCGTTGCCGAAAGAAATAAACATAATTAAAATGTAAACTAGACTCAATAATATTTATTTCTCACATTTAAAATACAATTTTCATTCATAATCAAAATAGGAAGAAAAACTAACTGACAAACTAGGGATACAATTTATTATAAGTGATTAAAAATAGGCGGGGTTAATTATGTTGTTCTAGTTTAAGGAATTATTTAATATTAAGCCATTTAAGTCTTCCTTACAATATTTTATAAAAAGTTTATTAATTCTAAAATTTAATTTTTAATTTAAATATTTCTATCAAAATACATAAAAACCAAACATTATCAACTTAAAATTTATTTAAGTAATTTAATTTAAACATTTTAAGTTAATAAAAGGTCAATTTCTATTAAATATATAAAGGAATCTTTTTCAATTTTTTGTCTAGACAATCATTAATAGACATTATTAAGCATTGTTAATAGTAGACATTTATTGGCTGAATAATTAATTAATTCAATAAATTATTTCAATATAAATACTGAATTATTCTCTATGTATGTAAAATATTATATAGGTCCCGATCGTTTATAATTTTTTGTTTATAAAATAATTTTTAATTTATATTATTTTTTATAATTAAAATAAAATTTCACTTTCCCTTTTTTTATTAAAAAATGCCGAAAATTTAATCACCATTCATTATATATAAAAAATTATAATAACTCTCCTCCGGTTATTTATAGCCGATGCTTGGATGCTCTTATCAAAATTCTTAATCATACTTGTTAGGAGTCGATGAAACCACAAACAAAAATAGGAGCGCTAGGAGTGATACGAAGCAGGGCTGGGCGAAATCTAAAAATAAACAGCGAAAAGCGAAACTTTTTGAGAAATGGGAAAAAAGTGAGAAATAGTACTTCCATATTAAAGACATTATAATTTAAAAAAATTTCTAAAAAAATAAAAAAATACTAAATTAAAAGACGAAACAAATTTCGCATTCGGTCCAAAAAGCGAAATGCGGAACTTTTCGCGCTAAAAAATTCGAAAAATGCGAAAGATGCGAAACGCGAAATGCGGAATAAGCCAAGACCTGATACGGAGGTACTATTACAAACATTTCTGCCCAAATGAGTTCTTTTAAAAATTTTTTTATTAAAATTTAATTTTTATTTTAGTAAATGTTAACATGGTAAATGTCCGGTTGGTGTCCTACCTGTCCGCAAAGAGAATGTGCATTTTTCCTTACTTTTCTTGCATTTTTTTCTGCAAGGAGTGTCGCCCATTTTTCCCTTATGTATTTTGCCTTTTGGCACGTAGAAGGAAAGAGAAAAAATAATTAAAATTAATTACTAATAAAGTACAAATAAATAAATATTTTATTTTAACAACAATTCTTTATGAATCCAATCAACGGCGCAAATACACAGCAGATTGAGGCATTCTGGAACAGATTAAGATTTTGAGTAGTTTGTCAGATGAGAAAGCTGACTTGCCTAAATACTAGGGTTGAACCAGGCCCCGAAAATCCTACTAAATACCTCACATTTTATTGGTTTTCATCATTACATTATAATCCCATTAAAGGTTCTTATCCCCCAGATATATTAAAAATCTTTTGAGAAGGTTGTTCGAAACTTTTATACCTGATCATTTGATCATTTATAAAATAAAATATTTATTTGTACTTTATTAGTAATTAATTTTAATTGTTTTTTCTCTTTCCTTCTACGTGCCAAAAGGCATACCATACATAAGAGAAAAATGGGCGCCACTCCTTGCAGAAAAAAATGCAAGAAAAGGAAGGAAAAATGCACATTCTCTTTGCGGACAGGTAGGACACCAACCGGACATTTACCTGTTAACATTTAAATTATTTAAATATTTTGTTTTATTTTTATTTTTCGTTTCATTAATTAATTGTGTATTAATTGTTGAATTAAACAAAACAAATGAACAAACAGAATTTATCGAAAATTTGAGAAAATCAACAAAATTTAAAAAATCTTTGGAAGAAGAAAATTCACAAAAACAATCCAAGTAAATTTAAAAATTTAAAAATATTTTTATTTATTTTTTTAAATAATAAAAAATGTCAAAGAATTTATTTCATCAGAATACGCCTCAAAACTTGTTAAGAAAAATTTATTTTTTCTTCCCGAAATTATTAGGGGAAAAGTTAAAAAAGATTTGACAACAAAACAATTTATTTCTGAAAATAAAACAATTAACAAAATTTTGGAATATGTTTATATTTGGTTAAAAATAAATAATAAATTTATTTTAAAAGAATTGGAAGAAGGGATAGAGGATGAAGAAGAAGAATGTTTTGTTGAATTTTCTTTGGAAAAAGATATTTTTGTTTGGGCATTTCTTTTTCGAGAAGGGACTACTGTTATGAAGGAAGAATTGGAAAAATTAAAAAGTGGAGAAGAAAAAATAATATTTTTTAATAAAAAGGAGGAAGAAAATGAAGAAAAAATGCCAAAAAGTGAAGAAAAACATGTTGAAGTTGAGGAGGGAGAAGGAAATGCGCATTTGGGGACATTTGCGATTTTAGGTATTTGATAGAATTTTTAAACAATTTTAAATGTGTAAAAAATACCTTAAATCTTTAAACTTTTAAATCTTAACTTTCAAAAAATTTTTAACGGAGAATATGTATAAAACATATTTAAATAATAATTAAGCTTTTGTTTCCAATTCCTGGTTTACTTAGAGATAGTCCTGGATCCAGAGTCTGGATCATTTTTCCCGATCCAAAGTTAAGATGAGACATTTTTCAGTGTCACATGATTTTTCCTTGACCTTGATTCCTCCTTGATTCAAGGTCAAGAATCTGGTCAAGGTCCTCAACCAAAACCAAGTATCTAAGATTAATGTCAAGGTTTTAAAATCTACGATCTCTAGTTAAAATATTTTTTAGAAGCAATCTACAAAGGAAAAAATGGATTTGGTGAAGGAGAACAAGTATATCTTGATTGGTCAAATATATTAAAAATTCAGATTGATTTAGAGAAAAAACGTCTTAAATTAATAAAAAAGACAGAAAAACGTATTTTTGATAAAATATGTTCACATTTATGGAAAATAATTAAAAGTATTGAAAGAAAAATTTGGTTCGAAAATTTGTGGTTTGTGAGGTTATTTACTAAAAATTTAATTAAAAAAACTAAAAATGATGATTTGATTGATGAGAAAAATAAAACAAAAAAAGAATTTGAAGAAATTGAACAAATTTTGGATGAAAATTTTGAGAAATTAAAGTCTTTGGAAAAGCTGGGAAAAACTTCAATTGAACAAAAAATTTCAATAGAAATTTCTGAAAAATCAAAAAAGATAGAAGATAATTTAATAGAAGAGTTGGATAAATTGCCTGATATGAAATTAAAGGAAAAACGAATTGAAGAATTTAAAAGTATAAATTCTTTTTAGAAAATAAGGGTGATTGAGGACTTCTAAACAAAATTATGACCAGTTAAAAATATAGGACACAACCGGGTATAATTTCGGAATACTAAACAGAACGCAAATGGGTCAAACTATATGTCATTCGAAAGAGCTCGACGAGTTGAGTCGAATGGTGAAAAAATTTTCGTGCGGACTCATACAGGGGCTGAGATATAAGCCCCCGAAAATCGAAAAACCATAGGGGGGACCAAGCACTTTTTTGGGGTAAAAAATTCGAAAATGCAAATTATACCTCATTCGAAAGAGCTCGACGAGCTGAGTCGAATGACACCAAAATCAACGAAATCCGACTTGATTTGACAAAGTTATGATCTTTTATTTATTCTCCTTACCTATGGCATCTGTGGAGATTTTTGCTGCTACGGAGGCCCCAAATACGTCCAGAGCAAGGGAGATAGGAATAGGTTTATGTTACGAGCCCAGACCCAGCGCCCGTAGACTCCCCGCGAGGCGCGTGCCGCAAAATCCCGCGCGAAGCGCGGGATTTTGCACAAGCGCCTCGCCGACGCTCCATAGGTTTAGGTTTTAGTTTTTCTATCGTAACTTTGTCCAAACTTGTACAATCACGATGATTTTGGTGTTACAATCACGATGATTCTGATGTTTCCGGAAAAATGTATTTAATATTTCTGATGTTTCCGGAAAGTATATTTAATAATTCTGATTTTTCCGGAAAGTATATTTAATATTTCTGATGTTTCCGGAAAGAATATTTAATAATACTGATGTTTCCGGAAAAATGTATTTAATATTTCTGATGTTTCCGGAAAGTATATTTAATATTTCTGATTTTTCCGGAAAGAATATTTAATAATACTGATGTTTCCGGAAAAATGTATTTAATATTTCTGATGTTTCCGGAAAGTATATTTAATAATTCTGATTTTTCCGGAAAGTATATTTAATATTTCTGATGTTTCCGGAAAGAATATTTAATAATACTGATGTTTCCGGAAAAATGTATTTAATATTTCTGATGTTTCCGGAAAGTATATTTAATAATTCTGATTTTTCCGGAAAGTATATTTAATATTTCTGATGTTTCCGGAAAGAATATTTAATAATACTGATGTTTCCGGAAAAATGTATTTAATATTTCTGATGTTTCCGGAAAGTATATTTAATAATACTGATGTTTCCGGAAAAATATATTTAATAATTCTGATTTTTCCGGAAAAGTATATTTAATATTTCTGATTTTTCCGGAAAGAATATTTAATAATACTGATGTTTCCGGAAAAATGTATTTAATATTTCTGATGTTTCCAGAAAGTATATTTAATAATTCTGATTTTTCCGGAAAGTATATTTAATATTTCTGATTTTTCCGGAAAGAATATTTAATAATACTGATGTTTCCGGAAAAATGTATTTAATATTTCTGATGTTTCCGGAAAGTATATTTAATAATTCTGATTTTTCCGGAAAGTATATTTAATATTTCTGATGTTTCCGGAAAGAATATTTAATAATACTGATGTTTCCGGAAAAATGTATTTAATATTTCTGATGTTTCCGGAAAGTCTATTTAATAATTCTGATTTTTCCGGAAAGTATATTTAATATTTCTGATGTTTCCGGAAAGAATATTTAATAATACTGATGTTTCCGGAAAAATGTATTTAATATTTCTGATGTTTCCGGAAAGTATATTTAATAATTCTGATTTTTCCGGAAAGTATATTTAATATTTCTGATGTTTCCGGAAAGAATATTTAATAATACTGATGTTTCCGGAAAAATGTATTTAATATTTATGATGTTTCCGGAAAGTATATTTAATAATTCTGATTTTTCCGGAAAGTATATTTAATATTTCTGATGTTTCCGGAAAGAATATTTAATAATACTGATGTTTCCGGAAAAATGTATTTAATATTTCTGATGTTTCCGGAAAGTATATTTAATAATTCTGATTTTTCCGGAAAGTATATTTAATATTTCTGATGTTTCCGGAAAGAATATTTAATAATACTGATGTTTCCGGAAAAATGTATTTAATATTTCTGATGTTTCCGGAAAGAATATTTAATAATACTGATGTTTCCGGAAAGTATATTTAATATTTCTGATGTTTCCGGAAAGAATATTTAATAATACTGATGTTTCCGGAAAAATGTATTTAATATTTCTGATGTTTCCGGAAAGAATATTTAATAATACTGATGTTTCCGGAAAAATATATTTAATACTTCTGATGTTTCCGGAAAAGTATATTTAATACTTCTGATGTTTCCGGAAAAATGTATTTAATATTTCTGATGTTTCCGGAAAGTATATTTAATAATTCTGATTTTTCCGGAAAGTATATTTAATATTTCTGATGTTTCCGGAAAGAATATTTAATAATACTGATGTTTCCGGAAAAATGTATTTAATATTTCTGATGTTTCCAGAAAGAATATTTAATAATACTGATGTTTCCGGAAAAATGTATTTAATATTTCTGATGTTTCCGGAAAGTATATTTAATAATTCTGATTTTTCCGGAAAGTATATTTAATATTTCTGATTTTTCCGGAAAGAATATTTAATAATACTGATGTTTCCGGAAAAATGTATTTAATATTTCTGATGTTTCCGGAAAGTATATTTAATAATTCTGATTTTTCCGGAAAGTATATTTAATATTTCTGATGTTTCCGGAAAGAATATTTAATAATACTGATGTTTCCGGAAAAATGTATTTAATATTTCTGATGTTTCCGGAAAGTATATTTAATAATTCTGATTTTTCCGGAAAGTATATTTAATATTTCTGATGTTTCCGGAAAGAATATTTAATAATACTGATGTTTCCGGAAAAATGTATTTAATATTTCTGATGTTTACGGAAAGTATATTTAATAATTCTGATTTTTCCGGAAAGTATATTTAATATTTCTGATGTTTCCGGAAAGAATATTTAATAATACTGATGTTTCCGGAAAAATGTATTTAATATTTCTGATGTTTCCGGAAAGTATATTTAATAATTCTGATTTTTCCGGAAAAATATATTTAATACTTCTGATGTTTCCGGAAAAGTGTATTTAATACTTCTGATGTTTCCGGAAAAATGTATTTAATATTTCTGATGTTTCCGGAAAGTATATTTAATAATTCTGATTTTTCCGGAAAGTATATTTAATATTTCTGATGTTTCCGGAAAGAATATTTAATAATACTGATGTTTCCGGAAAAATGTATTTAATATTTCTGATGTTTACGGAAAGTATATTTAATAATTCTGATTTTTCCGGAAAGTATATTTAATATTTCTGATGTTTCCGGAAAGAATATTTAATAATACTGATGTTTCCGGAAAAATGTATTTAATATTTCTGATGTTTCCGGAAAGTATATTTAATAATTCTGATTTTTCCGGAAAAATATATTTAATACTTCTGATGTTTCCGGAAAAGTGTATTTAATACTTCTGATGTTTCCGGAAAAATGTATTTAATATTTCTGATGTTTCCGGAAAGTATATTTAATAATTCTGATTTTTCCGGAAAGTATATTTAATATTTCTGATGTTTCCGGAAAGAATATTTAATAATACTGATGTTTCCGGAAAAATGTATTTAATATTTCTGATGTTTCCGGAAAGTATATTTAATAATTCTGATTTTTCCGGAAAGTATATTTAATATTTCTGATGTTTCCGGAAAGAATATTTAATAATACTGATGTTTCCGGAAAAATGTATTTAATATTTCTGATGTTTCCGGAAAGTATATTTAATAATTCTGATTTTTCCGGAAAGTATATTTAATATTTCTGATGTTTCCGGAAAGTATATTTAATAATACTGATGTTTCCAGAAAAATATATTTAATATTTCTGATTTTTCCGGAAAAGTATATTTAATAATTATGATTTTTCCGGAAAAATATATTTAATAATTCTGATATTTCCGGAAAAATATATTTAATAATTCTGATGTTTCCGGTAAGTATATTTAATAATTCTGATGTTTCCGGAAAAATATATTTAATAATTCTGATGTTTCCGGAAAGTATATTTAATAATACTGATGTTTCCGGAAAAATATATTTAATAATTCTGATGTTTCCGGAAAGTATATTTAATAATACTGATGTTTCCGGAAAAATATATTTAATAATTCTGATTTTTCCGGAAAGTATATTTAATATTTCTGATGTTTCCGGAAAGTATATTTAATAATACTGATGTTTCCGGAAAAATATATTTAATAATTCTGATTTTTCCGGAAAGTATATTTAATATTTCTGATGTTTCCGGAAAGTATATTTAATAATACTGATGTTTCCGGAAAAATATATTTAATAATTCTGATGTTTCCGGAAAGTATATTTAATAATACTGATGTTTCCGGAAAAATATATTTAATAATTCTGATTTTTCCGGAAAGTATATTTAATATTTCTGATGTTTCCGGAAAGTATATTTAATAATACTGATGTTTCCGGAAAAATATATTTAATAATTCTGATTTTTCCGGAAAGTATATTTAATATTTCTGATGTTTCCGGAAAGAATATTTAATAATACTGATGTTTCCGGAAAAATGTATTTAATATTTCTGATGTTTCCGGAAAGTATATTTAATAATTCTGATTTTTCCGGAAAGTATATTTAATATTTCTGATGTTTCCGGAAAAATATATTTAATAATTCTGATTTTTCCGGAAAGTATATTTAATATTTCTGATGTTTCCGGAAAGTATATTTAATAATACTGATGTTTCCGGAAAAATATATTTAATAATTCTGATTTTTCCGGAAAGTATATTTAATAATACTGATGTTTCCGGAAAAATGTATTTAATATTTCTGATGTTTCCGGAAAGTATATTTAATAATTCTGATGTTTCCGGAAAAATATATTTAATACTTCTGATGTTTCCGGAAAAGTATATTTAATACTTCTGATGTTTCCGGAAAAATGTATTTAATATTTCTGATGTTTCCGGAAAGAATATTTAATAATACTGATG